ATGGATTTCACAATAATTGACTGCATTAGCAAAGGTAAATGTATTTTAATTAACATATGGCTGGTTTTAAAGTTTATAAGAAAAAGTAAGAAATTGAATAGAGTTGCAAGCGCTACTTAGCTTGCTACCAGCAGATGAATGGATATTTAATATTTACAGCTAACAATAACATTTAAACAGCCACAGTGAGAAGAAGTGAAAGTCTCTGACATTGAAGACCTGGGAAGACGTTAAGTCCATTTATTAAACAAAGCAATACATGAACATTAAACTCTCTTTCTGCAGCAGGTAACATCTGTGTGCTCCCACATGGTCCCACATGGTCCCACACCTGAACTCAACTCCAACTGATGACATCACAGGTGTCTAAATGATGGGAGTGTCCCAAATATTAAAGCTGATCTCCCTGTTTTTAAACTTAGTTTACTAAGTACTGTTGTCTTTTTGCAGTTTATAAACCATTGTGAAATATACAGTAACTTTACATTTTAGAATTGAATTATTATTTTAAAACTCAAGAATCTTAACCTTTTTTTAACACATACTTTGTTGGACAGTCTAACCTAAGAATTTGAATGTGTTAAAAATAGTTTGAAATATGAAAAACAATATCATACTTTAAACTTTAACTTAAAAACTAAAAAAAGGTGTCTCCCTTTCAGCTGAGCAGTGCCAGCCGTTATTATTATAGATTCATGCACTGGCAATTCAAAATACAGATAATATACAAAATATACTTAACAAAATCCACGTATACGTGAGAAAACAACTGAGTTTCTGTCTCCAACTCTTTTCAATGTGGAAATGATACATCTATATCTAAAAACTGTGCAGACTGTGTACTTACTAGAGAGGGTGATTCCAAGTAAATAAAGCAGGGCAGCGACAGAGGTACAGATTCAACGTCATATCAACGTCTGGGAAGACATTGCTTTACGTCCAGATGCACACCTTACGTCGTTTAGACGTGGAAAACAGGTCCTCGACCGAGCGACTCACGTGTCAGGCTGTAAAGCCCAAGTTATACTCGCGCGGCGCATAAGTGTGCGTCGGTTGTTTAGGGTGTTATCTATTATTTTTTCACAGTAGTCAGAAAAATGCCTGGCCGTGGTGTAGCGGTTGAGGTTCAAATCTCCGTCGGAAAACTTTTGACTTTTCACTTGTTAGCAAACAATTTTTCTGTTTGGTTAAAAACGAATAAACACTCAACATAAGATTATGTAGTGGCTAATAATAAAACTTGTGAACCCATGCATTTGCATAAAATCTCAAGTGCTCACCCCTTATTTGCAAACTTGAGATTGTTAGCACAACAAATGCATACATTCACAAGTTTTATTATTAGCCACTACGTAATCCTATGTTGAGTGTTTATTAGTCTTTAACCAAACAGAAAAAAATTGTTCGTTAAAAATCAAAACAAATATGTAAAGATAATAATACACACACATGGGCTCGAACCCACGTAACCAAGACTGCACACGTTTGCTTAACCACTACACTACCGTCAGGTACCCTAAGATTGCTTAACAGCCTATATATTGTATTGCTAGATCAAGACGTACTGCGTCGGTCGGCCGATGACCTGTTTTCAACGTCTAGGGGAGGTCGGGATTGAACGTCATATCCACGTATATGGGAGGTCATTGTTTTACGTCCAGATGCGCACCTTGCACAGACGTCGTTTGGACGTAAATAAAAGGTCACGACCGACCGACGCGATATTGACGTGATCTGGAGGTTGAGTGGACGTCGGATGTTTAGTGGGATAGACTGAAAAAGAGAGAGGCAGACATGTAGGGGGGGGGACTGTAACTGGTGTTCTGGGTTGTGAGTCTGAGATAGATAAGAGTCCAGTGTCGGCCTTGAGTAGCCGGTAGCAGTGGTGGTGGAATGTGAAGGACAAAGATAGCGCAGGTGCCTGCAAACATTGGAGACAAAACAACACATGCCCTTGTGGGAAATTTGAATAAGCACTTTTAGCTGATCAATGAAAGGCAGTGCAAACTAAAGCCAATATGTCCAAATTATACTGGAACTGGACCCTCCGTTCACCGTTATCCGGAGTTGACCACGTCAGTACGAGGTTCCACCGTGAGGCCCAAGTCCTTCAATCAATCCTTCCAAGCGTTTAAGTCCATCCAAAGATCTCACTCCCAGGAGTTAAGGGAATGTTCGATCCGACTCACCCCCCGCTGTGTCCCCACTGTGCCCTCGACCACGACTCTGACCAACTCACGGAAACTCTCCTTGTTTTCCGCGGACAGCCGCTCGTAAATCTTCTGAGTGGACAGCCCTCCAACTTTGCGGTAGATCAAGCCAACTCCAAATCCAATCAGGAGGAACCCTGCTACCATAAATCCGAAAATGTATATATCCTCAATGTCCTCGATGGACAGTCCCGACAGACAAACGGGGTGCCACTTTTGCCAGTTGTCAAAAACGTACCCAGCAGCCGCCGTACCATCCGGGCAAACGGCATCTCCAGAACCGCCTTTACGTGATGAAAAAATAGTATCAATTGCGTTGAGGGACCAGTTGATTAATTCCATCATTTTTCAAGTTGTATACAGGCAGAAGTCTAGGAAAAAAGACAGTCAGGGCAAGCAGAGCAGGAGAGACACGTCTGACCTCGAGGAGAGCAGGAAGAGAAAATAATCGCAATCATCAATGAATCTAAAATCCTTTACATACATAGGTGCATTTCGATTATATAATCTTATGATGAATGAATGATAATAGTACAATTAATGCAAAACAAACTAAAGGGGAGGAGGAATACCCTATTGATCCCATAGATTAGTCCTCTGTTGAATATACAATAGCACCATCCAATCGGTAAAACACAGCAAATTACTTCTTAACCAAGATTGTGAGCTTTGGCTCTAAATGCAGGTCTCAATGTGGATCAGAAAGGAACGAAAGGAAGCCATTAATCACCATGATGTCGAATCGGTCATCAGCTGCTAAGACCTCCCTCTGCCAGTGATGCAGGAGATTGCACTGTGTCTCCGAACACCAAACACATATATCAGTGAGAGGACCTCCCTAAACTCAAGTATGAGGGATGCACCACACTTCCCATGCTCCCACACAACATCCTGTTTGTTTATGGAAGTTTATCTCCACATTCTCCCATAGTTAAGACTATCTATCTGCTTTGTGGTCTGCTATAAGTGTCCAGAGATAATAATGCCAGGAATGTGAATCAAATTAGTCTTAAAATACTCTGGATTGTTGTCATTTTAGTGGGAAAAGCATGTTTATTGTTTGTGGGAAAAGTCACCCGGCAAACTAGAGAGCTCAGTCCAAGTGAATCATGGTCTACTTGGCAGATCATGAAAACAGGGAGGCGACATTCTTGACCTCAGGAATAATATCATATGTAGCTAAAGGGGTGTCATCATTTAAGTACATGCATTTGGTCAGTCCAAATGAAATTAATATTTTATGTACCTTATCAAAAATAGTATTTCTTATGTATGAAAAATATCTAGAATCAAATATGCACACAAGAGACCGATACATGCTCAAAGAATGTGGCAAACTCTATTGTAGCTCTATAAGGTTTGGACACCCCTGGTTTAAGTAGTCTGCTGGCTAGATTATCACATATCATAAGGTGTATCTGTGATAACCTCATGTCATATAACTTTTTCATTGTCAACACATGTGCAGCCAGCACAGACAACCATGCGTGGTGAGTAGGAGGCAGGGCTGGTCCTGCCTAATTACAGAGTCAGCCTAATTACATGACTCTAATGAGAATCCACCTGGCCTTGGAGTCAACAGAACCCTCCTATCTTTCTCATGCCATGCCTTGAAGACAATTCTGATTACCAAATGCTTAGAGCATTTTAGCTTGAAACATTGCACTGATTCTCTTCTCTATGATCCATAAATAACATGAAATAGAATCCTAACATTATAAGATGTGTTTTTCTATAGAAATGCCTTTAATATCAATTACTTTGGTTACACTGAAAAAGAATGATGTAGGCAAACGTGGTATAGGTTTTTTCTGCTCTTTTACAATATTTTTTGGTTTTCACAGATAAAGTACTTATCAGATGTGTTACATTTTCACTGCTTTTACAGAACTCCATCCATGTTTCTCTTCAATACAACACAACATCAGTTTGTAGGCCTTTAACTTTAGAGCCTACTGCCCAGAGTGCATTAGCAGCTCTATAGTTTTTTGTGGTTTTCTCAAGAGGTCTCAAGGTCAACCCAGGCGTACCATCCACGCTCTCCACCAGCACTATCGCCTTTATAACCAAATTACAAGATGCTGTTGCTTCCTGTCATTCCCAAGACAATTACGGGTCTGACAGAGGGCTAATGAGCCACACGGCCAGGGAATTTTCTCATATCTAGGGCAGCCATCAGGAGCCATTAGCAATTGTATAAGTACTCCCTCAGATCCTCTCAGAATGGAGCGTAATAAGTACAGAAATCAGAATGGTAAATTGAGTTAAAAGGGTGCTATCAGAAACAAAGCCAGGAAACCCATCTCTATATCATTACACATAAAGAACAGAACTGCTTTCCTACAAAGAAACTAAGAAATACATACAGGATATTTTTTTAATGTATCACCAATAAATAGTACCAATGGACAGCGGCCCTGGTAATTCCGTATCCATGGTTAGAGCTCCATCTAGCGCCCAAGTATTTTGTTCCACACAACTTCATCAGTACGAATAATAAGTAATTATTGGAATGAAATCGCAATGAATAACGAACTTGTAATTAAGTAAAGAAGATGTTTTCAATAGCAAAAATTAGATTATCGTTTCTTTTCTCTTTACACGGTGGACATTAGGACCGAGCGGGGCGGGAGTGAGAGGGGCGCACTAAAAATCACATGACAGCAGTGGAGTTCTTTCGTTACTGTCTATGGTTCTTTCCATGGCTTTACACCACAAACATGTAGCAGAAAAGCTTTAAAGTGGCTCTAAATCATGGCATAAGTCCTGAGGTTACAGGAAGGCAGGGATATGGCTGCAGGAGTCTTCCTGTTTCTAGCGTTCAACTTGGTCTTTTTATGTACCAGTGGAAACCAGGTGAGCAAATCTCTTACAGTTAATACTACAGTAAACATTGAGTACTGCCTACATTTAGTATTCAACCTTTTCTGTGTATTTCTGTACTGTTACAGGTCTCAAAAAGGTCTTTCTCAATTGACTACAACAACAACTGCTTCATAAAAGATGGAAAGACTTTCCAGTACATCTCAGGCAGCATCCACTACTCCAGGGTCCCCAGGGCCTACTGGAGAGACCGGCTTTTAAAGATGTACATGACTGGACTGAATGCGATCCAAGTGTAAGTTCTACTAACTGTCATGTGATGTTTTGTATGATAATAACAGTGTTGTTGACAGATATGTACCATGGAACTTCCACGAGTCCACAGAGGGTGTTTACAACTTCACAGGAGACAGAGACTTGGTGCATTTCTTAGATTTGGCCAATCAGACCGGACTTCTGGTAATTCTGCGCCCAGGGCCTTACATCTGTGCAGAATGGGAAATGGTAAATTAATGTCTAGTCTATGGAAGTTTAAAATCTGTCAGGTCTCACTGCTGTGTGAATCATGCATGCAACAAATATTGCTGGGCAACACCAAATAATGATTTACAAAGATCCTTTTTCCTAATATAGCATCGATTTTGATGTCATAGAATTTAACAGTAATCCTGTTTTTTTAAGTCGTGTATTTCTTTGTTAGGGGGGACTTCCAGCATGGTTACTTCAGAAACCAAACATTATCCTTCGATCAGCTGACGCAGGTGAATTCATGGACATGTTTATGCTGAATCATGAAAAAAATAGATTACTGAAGTGGTGTTCAATTTTAGAATATCTTCAAGCTGTTACCAACTGGTTTGCTGTTCTTCTCCCAAAACTCAAACCCTGGCTCTATATCAATGGAGGAAACATTATTACTGTGCAGGTAGCACACTGATGCCTTTCTATTGTTGTAGAGAAAAACAACACAATTTATTTGTGCAACTGTCTTTGGGAACAGGTGGAGAATGAATATGGAAGTTACTTTGCATGTGACTACAACTATATGCGGCACCTTCGTACTCTGTTCCGTCTCTTTCTGGGAGACCAGACGGTCTTGTTCACCGTCGATGGAAACACAGACAAAGAGATGACATGTGGTAGTTTAGGAGGATTATATGCCACAGTGGACTTTGGTACAGGTTAGTACTGCAGTTATTGACATTATATTGTGATATAAATATAGCAAATGTTTTTTCTTAGACACAAACGTAAAAGAAGCTTTCAAAAGACAGAGACGGTTTGAACCCAGGGGTCCATTGGTTAGTGACATTACAAGTACATATCTATCCAGCATTATTAATACTGAAACCCAAGACTACAACCGTATATGTAATGTATTGTAGGTGAATTCAGAGTTCTACACTGGTTGGCTGGACCACTGGGGAGACCCGCATGCCATGGTGGGCACAGAAAAGATAATTCGAGTGCTATCAGAAATGTTAGTTTTGGGAGCTAACGTAAACATGTAAGTACTAGTTCACTGCATGTTGCATTATCCATCAGAGACCATCAACCTGTCCAGAGACTATGTGTGGAAACTAACCATTATGTTCAAACCTGGCACATGACATATTTTCTTTTTATATGACTAATTTTATTGTGCATTGTCCCTGATCACTTAAGTAAATTAAATTTATTTCAAACTATAAATCTGTAAACAGAATTCAAAATGTTGCAGGTACATGTTTGAAGGAGGTACAAACTTTGGATACTGGAATGGTGATGGCAGTTACTTTACAGAAACATTAATTATTAGAATGAACATGCAAGAAAATAACCGTTTTGATCTCTATAAAGGTGCTGACCATGACACTCGGTATCGCTCGGTTGTAACCAGCTATGATTATGACGCCCCTCTCTCTGAGGCTGGAGACCCCACTGAAAAACTGCTGGCCATCAGAGAAGTCATTAAAATGGTGCTCCTTACACATTTATATTTCAATTTTCAACCAATAAATTAATACTTTTATCTATTCATAGTTTAGAGACGTTCCTACCGGACCTATGCCTCCTGCCACTCCCAAATATGCATATGGATTTGTCACACTTAAAAAGGTAAATAATGTGTTTGTGTAAGTATCCATTTGTGAGGTAGTGAAACATGGAGTGGCCCAAAATAAGTTGCATAGTAACAATTTCCATGTGGCTAGAAGTGTACATAAAATGCAGGTGACTAAACTTAAATGTTTTTAGGTTGGTGAAGTGGGCTCCCTCTTAAGCATCATCTCACCCATGGGGCCAGTGAAATCTCAGTATCCTCTGACTTTTGAACAACTCAAACAGGTATTTGTCAGAGTACTATTATTGTTTCTAATAAACCTCTTGAAACATGGAGAACTTCTGGACTTTTGTGTCTGCTCCCTATTGTGTTTAGTACTATGGTTACGTGCTGTATCGGACCACATTGCCCCGGGACCTCTCAGAGCCCACCCCACTTATCTGTCCTCTCAATGGGATTCATGACCGTGCATACGTGTCGGTCAATGGGGTAAGTGTTACAAAGAACTTTTGTTTTCTGAGCAAATACAGTTCCAGGTCAGATGTAGGCACAGGAAGAACAAATGGTCTGGTGTTAATTTTCACTTGTTATTTTATTTGTGTGACTTAATACACCCCATTTTACCAATGTATATCCCAACTTGTGCTTGAGCAGGTTTACCAAGGTCTATTGGAAAGAGACATTACACTTGTGACAAACGTGACTGGAAAGCAAGGCGACACATTGGATATTTTGGTCGAAAACATGGGCAGGGTAAACTTTGGCAGCAAGATCAATGACTACAAGGCAAGACAACTCTTTGTCAGGACTCTTTCCAATCTGTTATGTATTCATATGTAACTAATATGGATTATTTCAGGGTATTTTGAGTAATCTAATTTTGGGTCAAGATGTATTGACTGACTGGAACATATATCCTCTGGACATTGATGGAGCCATTGCTGGTGGATGGCCTCATTCGGTAAATGCAAAGCTCAAACCTCCCGCAAAGAAAGAAGAGCTTTTGGGACCAACATTCTATATGGGAACTTTTGAGTCCAATGGTCTTACTTGGGACACCTTTCTTAAACTCCATGAATGGACAAAGGCAAGTTCAATCATACGTCTTCTCTGTATTTTTAGTGTTGAAATAAAAAATAAAAACCATCTTTTTCAGGGGCAGGTATGGATCAATGGCATAAACTTGGGTAGGTACTGGCCTGCGCGAGGACCTCAGCAGACTGTGTATGTCCCAGGACCCCAGCTCAGCTCCACTCAGACCAACAACATCACCATTTTGGAGCTGGAGGGAGCTCCAACACATTTGAGAGCTCTGTTTATGGACCGACCTCTGCTCAATATCACCACCAGTAGATCCTGATACAACAAGTTGATGTAAAGTTAGCTTTTTGTAGCTTTAGTAAAAAGCTATCATTAAATGTGTTCTGAAATGAAGAAACAAGTGGTTTTACTTTTTATATTTCAAAAATGTTACGCTGCTACTAGGTATCTTGTTTTTTAATATTCTGAATAAATAAATATAGTAAAATATCGGATTTCTTTGTAGTTGATTTACACTGTAAACTAGGATCATTTGGCATTGGCTTTTCGATGTTGTTGGACACAGTGAGGGCTACAGAATATAAAATCCAAATACTGAAATGGGATTTTTCCCAGAAGTGACTCTCCACACATCCAGCATCTCCTGCAACACATACATTTTGTTTTTAAATGGGGAAGGAAAAAAAACTAATTGTAAAAAAACCCCTCATACTTTGCATTTGAGATGCTAACTCCTGTTGCAGCAGCCTGTTCAGCCAGTCTGCGCTCCGCTGCCATAGCTCTCTAAATGAAAAATCAGATATAATTCAAGAAACATTCAGTTTAGTTTTTACATCATGGAGCTCAGCATAAAGCGCCTGGTAAACTGCCTATTGCATTGCTGACCTCTTGTGGCTGTATTACATCGAAAAAACAACTGATAATTTGAATCTCATGCTCAACAAAAGACTAACATTTGCATTTTAACCTAATTAACAAATGTACCTTTTCTCTGTCTGAGAGAGCAGCAAATCGTTTCTTCTCCTCCGCCTCCAACTCTTGTTTCTTTTTCTCATCTTTTTGCTCTTTTTCTCGCATTTTTTTCTGTGCTTTTTGAGCTTTTTTCTTCTCCAACTTTTTGGACTCAATTTCTGCAGTCAGTGGGCCTGGGATCTGGAAGTAACGATTAGCACCATATCAATAAAAAACAAATGAACCAACATGTCAATACAATCTCATGTTACCTGTGCTTTACTGTAGTCGTACTTGTCAGGGTTCTCCCCCATGTATTTCCTAAAGACATTCCTTGTGTCCTTCTCTGGTGCTACTTTAAAAGGGGTCTGGCCTTTGTTGTCTCTGTCAAAAATACAAAATACAATTAAGTCAATTAGGGGTGTGTAAATAAATAAATAAATAAAAAATTATATATATATATATATATATATATATATATATATATATTATATAGATAAGAGAACCTTCATTTGTCCCACAGTGGGGAAATGGTGACGTTGCATATGAGATATGTATACTTAAATGTATTTATTTGTTTGAACAGTATTAGTAAAATCGATACAATGTTGATGCTTTTAAGCCATATTTAAAAAATATATATAATTAAAGATTTTTGTTTATTAATAGTTATAAAAAGCCTAAAAGTAATTTTTACAGTACCTGCATGCCGGATCTGCTCCGATATCTAAAAGACACTTGACCACTGTCTTCTGTGCAGCAGCAGAGGCAACGTGCAATAAAGTAAATCCTGAAGAGTCTATGGGCTTATTGAGAAATATTAGTGGGTTTTGGACGTCAGAAGTCTGATTTTCCTCAACAGTTCCATCTCCTGGTTTCGGCTCATTCAAAAGTCGTAGCAAACCATCCACATCTCCAATCTTGCAGGCCGTAAAGAGCGCATCTCTCACGCTGTATTCCCACGTGTCATCAACAGTTCCTGAACACACGGGATGAGAGATGAGCTTCCTAAACATTTGCCAACCATTATAATCGCAAAGAATCACCTTCCAGTTCTTTCTTTTTTCGTCCTTTTGCCCTTTTCTTTGATTTTGTTTCTTGCTCTGCTTCTACAGTCTCGGCTTCTACAGCTTCTGCTGCCGATAGTTCCTCCTCAGTGTTATGTTCTGTGCTATCCAAATCTAAAAGCACATATAATAATTATATTGTATTTGTTTAAATATTAATAATAGGTGATATTTATAGTTGAAGGGAGACATTTACCTTCAGAATGCATTTTAGATGCATTCTTATTTTTCTTTTTTCGTCTTCTACGTTTAGGTAGATATATTTCAGACTCTCTTAAGTTCAGTGTTGTTAGTGATAGCTCTTCCATTTTCAATTGAACTGTCCCACTCTCTTCTTCCTCCTCTGAACTTGTTTTGCATGGGACTTCTGAAAATCCAAAATGTATATACAATTTTTTAGACATTTTCAACTTGTACTGCTGTAATGAATGAATCGTACCTTTGTCTTGATCAGGGCTTGGCTCTACATTCAACTTAACTGTTTTTTTCCATGTCTTTCTGGATGGGCTAAAGATGAGGGACACATCAGTCTCTTTACCTGCATTTGAATACATTTGATTTTTAGTTGAAGCTACATACAAATATATACATACAATAACAATGTATTTTGTGCTTACCATGAACCTGAATATTACTTAGTACTCCATGTACCCTTTGCACCTCCCTAAATGTTGCTCTCCTTGTAGAAAAAGGAATGCTACGAACTCTAAAATCATGTTTATCTAAAGCAGGTGCCCGCCCACCAAAAAATATGGATTTGTTGTAGCTTGGAGAACGCACAAATATTGCAGATGCTTCCTTTAAATGATCAACCCAGCTCTCGAGAACGTCTTGAATGTCCTAAAAACAATACACAAAAAAACAGCATTGAAAAAGATGGTAAAAGAACATGGTGTGTAATGAAAATAAAATGATACCTTGACCAGGGCTGCCTCGTTGTATCTCCGGAGAGCAGCTCCCGCCGATTTGGGGGCATGGCTTCGATTCTGTGCATCTCTGAGACCTTGGGCAGTGCCTCTCTTGGCCCGGACAGTGTATCGGTGAAATGTCTTGTGCTCAATGACATCTTTACTGTGGAAAATATTGTTTATTGCATGATCATTTGAATAAAGGTAATGAAAGTATGATTAAATATGTGTAAGATGTATTTGGGAGCTGATTCCACGTAACTGAATACATAATCTCTTGCTTAAAAACTTTTACATTTTTCCAGAAAAAAAAAGATTAATTTACCCCTGAAATACAGCTCCAGCAAAGTGACCTCCACCAGTCATGAGAATCACCCATATGGTCTTGTTATTTACAGCTCTTAGGGACTGTACTAAATCCTTTTCTTCCTGCATCTGTTACAAAATATGTAAAACCTGTGCTACAACCAAGTCATCTACTGAGTGAAATGTCAACATAAAGTGTTTTACCTTTCCGTGAAGAATACATCGATGCACAGACAAATACTGTCCAGATGGATTTTGAAAAACAACCTTATTCGAAAGGCGACCAGAAAATATACTATTTTCAGTGGGATTCTCATTATCTGTGCCAGTGACATTACTGCTGGTTCCACCATAGTCACTATCTGACTCTCCTTCATCGGAGTCGGAGTCTGAGCCCGAGATACTTGACATGTCACCTGAAAAAAAAAAGACATAGGATTTTTCACTCATGTACAGTTCAACAGTCAAGGTACTTACCAGCTCCTGTTTTTGTCTCAAATTCTTCCACTGTTACCGGTGACAATCCTTCAATTTTTTGTCTCAAGTTGAAACGATGCCAGTCAAGTTTGTAATGTTCCATCTAAATGAACAACAACATTATGGGACACCAATATTTACATCATCAACAATATATTAAATATCACCTGGTCTTCGCGGTTAGTAAAGGAGCATCTACAAGCCAAGCAGGTCATCTTTTCGGGCACATCTCTGACCAGGTGCCCATACTGTTCTTTGTCATCCTCCAGGCTTTTAATTTCTTTCAAACATAATTGGAAGATTTACACAAACAAATAAAAATATATATATTATAAGTATAAATAGATTATATATACAATGTATATACATATACATACATATATACATTATACAAAATATAATATAAAGACATACCATCTTGAGTCGATTCATGGTCAAATATATGTTTAAAAATCGGGTCCAGCTCTTTAATTCCTTTCAAAGTCTCATCGTTTGGACATAGGTCAAAAATAGATTGACGAGAGGCACAGGAGGACATTTTTAATAAATATGTCAAGTCCTGCGAAGAAATAGATCGTTTCAAAGTGATTGAACTGAGTGATTGCAACTGCAAGTTGCATTTTTGTGTAGTCATGAAACTGTCATGCCGATAATACGTGTAGTTCTCTGATAGCTTACATGTGATGAACAAGGAAAGAGAAACTCATAATCTTACCGCATTACTGCGCAGTCACTGTAAACGGGAAAACATATATACTCCCAAAACAGGTAGATATTGAAAGTATCAGATAGATATACTGATTTAATCAAAAACCAATGGCCATGATGGTTTCTACAAGCGTTTACTGCTTGTACGGTAGGCGAGGAGGGTCAAAAATGCCTATTCGCCTCATGACGCAACAAGCATGGACTTTGGCGCTTTTTAAAGTCGACTTTAAGTTCGCAATGTTTTCATAAGCCTTTGGTTACTTATAATATTTGTTGTAAATATGTAGAAAACACCAAACAAAAGCACTATAAAATTGCTCACAGAGCGCAGAACTCCGCTTCCATCAAGATGGTGATCAAAATCACCTGAAAAATATAATCATTTATTCCTTGTCCCATTTTCTTTCTTTAAGTGTCAATAACTTTATGATTTATCTCGCTAACTAACAAACACTCAGGCCCGGGCGAGTAACACTGACAGATGACAGACCATCAAACTCTGATGTTTACAGTGTAATCATTACACTACCCCCTGTTGGAGCTGTGAGACAGTGGATTATTGAATATGTTTTAATGTTTCATGTTTAAGACAATGTTCTAGATATGCAAATTATCATAGGAAAGAACTTGAATAATCTTATTTTGAAGAATTACACATTTAGTATTGATTTTTGTTTCTCAATAGTTTGGAACCCTATGCCAGTTCAACCAGATTTGACACACCAGCATAAACTCATAGGGATAAGGGAAATCTAAAACCTTTTACTCTGTAGGCTATGAATTAATATATAATATTTAAGAGAATCGACGGCTAAACCTATTCATGGTGAATATTAAAACATGCATTCAACCATTTGCTTTTACAAAAGAAATGCTGCTGATGTACGGTAGGCAAGGTGGTGATGTGTCTACAGCCCAAGACACAACAACACGCACTCAAGCCACTCACAGAATATCATTTATTTGAAAAGCATTCCTGCCCTCTCTGTGAATGGCATGTTTTTGGATGGAGCTAATGCCTCACTCAAGTTTGTATTTCATCATACTCAGTAGAGCAGTTTTTGCTTCAATATTGCAAGGCAATAACTACTTGGTGACAGAATTAGAAAAGAATTTCTTTCGCCCTCAACAATAAATGTCCTCAGCAAATGGACTCATTATCCAAGTAATTAGTAATTCTTCAAGTTGGCCAAATCTCAAAGTCTGTTTAGTGATAAATGTGGATTGTGTTTTTATTGTTGTCTTGTCTTACTCGTTATATTTTGTATCAGTTTAAAAGTTAATATTAAGAATATCAGACTGTAGCAGTTTTTCATAATTTTGATGTGTTTAGTTCGCACAAAAGACAGTTTTATAACTCTGATTAAATTCAGAATTACAAGGTAACAGATAAAAACATGCTGTTTTTTTTTTTTCAAAGTTATGAAGAGAAAAAACTTCAGTCATTTTTTTTTTCAGTTATCAAATGGAAAACAAGTATTAATAGTTGGATGACAATGACTTCCTCTAAAAAGAACGTCATGCACATAGACTATAGTCCTAAATGCACACATACAAACCCAACAGTTTGAGATTAAGATATTTTTAAGACAAAAAGTATAACTGTCAATTGTGAGCACACATTTATCTCCATGGAGCGTGTTTCCATGGAAATGTTAGTTGGCATTAACACTGCTGCGCAATTGTTTATTTGGATGGGATTGTGTGTAAACAGCAGGTGCTGCAAAAAGATTGTAGCCTTGGGTTAATTTCCATCCATTGTCCCACAGTTGAACTCACAAAAATACCCTGAACTATTGTGTATGTTTTTTGTAATATAGGGGAACTCTGAGCACCAAGTGGAAACCTACGCTTACACAAGGAGAACATGCAAAACACACAGAAACCCATGTGACTTTCTCCCAAAGCGTTTAGTTTCTTCTTCCCATGGACTTGTGCCCAAAATTTGCCACCTCCCAAAATTAATTGTCACATTTTTAGATAAACCCTTGAGACCAAGTTGGAAGAAAAGGAGGAGGACTAAATAGAGGGGTCTCCAACCTTTTTCCCATGAAGAGCTACTCTGATGAAAAGGCAGAGAGCTACACCTTTGGGCGGTTCAAAAGAAATGTATTGATGTAGAATGGAATTGCATATAACACAACTGTCTTTATTGAACCATGAATCCATTATTCACTTTGTTTTATGGGTATTTAACTGTATAGACTAATTATTTTGTGATTTTAATAGTTCTTGTTTTGTGTTTCTTTGAGTTTCTGACCTTCTGTTATACATCTTTAAAATTAAAAAATTAAAGACATGTAACAGGTGTAGGCATAGAAAACTTGAAATATTCAAGGATTCTTAGAAATGTCTAAATCCTTTGGAGCTACAGGTTAGGGGCCCCTGAAATAGAGAAAGAGCAAATAGATGCAAAGGTGTGCACCGACATTGATTGTTTAATGCCATGGTTTGATCCATCACTAAAGAGATGCTTTGGAAGACATGTTTGTGACATTGATGAGATTCTGTAAAGGTTAATTAATCATCTTATTTTCTTTCATGACGTGTACTTTTTACATAATGTGTCATGATTTTATGAAAGACTTTCTCATTTTTATATAGGTAATTCGAAGTGTAATTTGAAGCATAGTTCACCACATTTATGATTAATAAGTTCTGATTTATATTTTTTTAAATACATTTTAATTTTTTATCAATTTTAATTTTTTATACATTTTCTTTTTTTATACATTTTCTTTTTTTAATCAGGTTTTTTTAAAGGTGGGTTTATGTGCAGAGTATCTTAATAAATTATAGCAATTCCTCATTTGTTTTTAGTTCACCGACAAAGGCAAGAAAGACATTCTGATTATAAAAATGAAAACATGATCAGGTCTGGTCGGACATCCTCCACCTTCTGACTCTGGTTTCAGCGATAGGCTGTAGTCTAAGCTGACGGGTTTGCTCAGCCATGCTGCAACAACCTGATATTCTTTTGTTTAGCATTTAGTTTTTGAAGGAAAATAATCAAAAGCCCAAGTTGACCTCGACTTGCTATCCTGCGGGTGTCTTATGGACGATAGCGGTAAAAGCCAGAAACGTGTTTATTTTGGTTAAGAATATCCTCCGTCAATATATCATGTAGTATCTGCCTTTCGCCAACATTCATTGTGTCGTTTATTATGTATTTGGTAAAATTCATAGTCGTTTAATTTTTCCAGTCAATTGGGAGTTATAAACAAGGACTTCTGTTCGATGAGAAGAGCCCGGATAGCTCAGTCGGTAGAGCATCAGACTTTTAATCTGAGGGTCCAGGGTTCAAGTCCCTGTTCGGGCGTTACATTTTCTACACACGCGTTAAAAATACAGCCGCGAAAAATATTTATCGTTTCGTTAAAATGAATCAGACAACAATGATTTTGGATAGTACAACAGCTTGAACACATACTTGAAAATAATGTGTATGTTTGAGTTTCACATGAGCTCTCTAATACCATAGCCTACCATTTCATTACGGTTTGCCAATGTACTGGAGCTGTGTTATTACATACTGTAAGACCTCACATTATACTCCTGTTGGAGCTGAGTGTTATAAAAAGAATTGTACTAATTCATGGATTAAACTCACTCATAAACAAAATAACAGTCAACGTGCAATTTGCCAGAGAAAATAACAGGTGTAATTCAGAATGGTGATTGGGAGGACCTATAAAGCTAGCTGTAAGTGCAGGTAGAATTGTAGAAGGGAAGACTTCAGCTTCCAAGGATGGATAGGATAATCCTGTTGTACTTGCTCTCTGCCTGTCTCTCAATGGTGCAAGTGATATCTGCTCAGGTATTTTCAATATTTCAAAATGACATTACTTGTTGAATTTAACATGTATATTAAACAAAAAGTGTCTTGCAGAAGTTTTTATACAGCTCTCCATGGGTTCCCAGGGGAATCAAAGGTAAGCAGCATTTGTATATGTTTGTATTACCTTTTGTATACAGTCGCTTGAATTAAACTCCTTTCAAAGAGCGTGATGATCGGGATGATGGTGCCATGGGAGAAATAATCAAAGCAAATGAGTTTCAAGGTACTACATATGAGCATCTTACTTGCATTTCTAAAATTTCTATATATTTTAATCCTTATTATTTATGTTTTCTTAGCTTCTCGTATCATTGATGGTTCCACCAGCCTCAGAGAGGGAGACATCGCTGTTTCTGCTGGCAGACGCTCTAAAGTATGTTTTGCAAGAAGCTGTCTCTGGTCAAAGTCAGTGGATGGACATGTCTATATTGCATATAACCTCTCACCTGAATACAGTAAGTCAGACGAGTGATATACTTTAATCTACAGGAATTTTCTAAAATCCTAATTACGCTCTAACTTCATTTCCCTTTGTTCTCAAATGTACAAAGGTGAAATTGAACAGGAGATGATCAAAAGGGGGATGGAGACTGTAGAGAAAGGCACGTGTGTGAGATTTGTTCCTCGGACTCATCAGCGGGACTACATTGACATTCAGTCAAAGTCTGGGTACTTTCTTTTACACATTTTTGTATTGCACCATAGTTAATAAAACAATTATTTAACGACAACAGTAATTATTTTACATAATTTCCTATTTCTCTATTATCATTATTATTCTATTTTAGAAAGAGTAATCATTTGAGGAGTGCAGTATATCTAATAGTACTGTGGTTGCTGTTAAAACAGTTGCTGGTCCTACCTCGGTGCCCGCGGTGGGAGGCAGACAGTTTCCCTGCAGAGCCAGAGCTGCTTTCAGGTGGGAGTGATTGCCCATGAGTTCATGCACGCCTTGGGCTTTGTGCACGAGCAGTCACGCTTTGATAGAGACAACTATGTCACCATTATGTGGCCACATATATGGAGAGGTAACCTCAGTATTATTCCATACAAACAATTCTCATTTTTTCTGTCAAAACTAATTTTTTAATTATTTCAACAGATCGTTTGAGGAACTTTGAGAAATTCAAGACGGACAACTTGAATCTACCTTATGATTACAACTCAATCATGCACTTTGGCATGTAAGCTTGTGCCTAATTTTTCATTTCTTGAAAATGCATCACTATTTTATGAGCTGTTTTTTTAGGTATGCCTACTCACAAGATGGAGAGCCAACCATTATTCCTAAGAGTGGTCAAAACATAAAGATTGGCCAAGCAACATCCCTCAGTCACATTGACAAGTTGAAAATCAACAGACTTTACAAATGTGGTAATGACAACTTGCTTTTATGACTTTAAAAACTTATACTTACACTTAAATAAGAGTAATTAATAATTTTCTCTTTTGTAGGTGATACTGATGATAACTGAAATGTTTTGAAAGTAATGCATAACATACGTTTGTTTCAATAAATGTCATTCAAACTTCCTATTTGATTATCTTATATTTTGTGAACCATAAAAAGTAAGGGACTAATAACTACATCAAAATTAAGAATATTGCCAGGAACAAACCTGTTCGACTTTCTCCTTTAATGTTATAATATAATTGAAGACCATCAGGGCACGTAGTAGTTCCATATATTTAAGCATGAACCAAATGATTGCTGTCAACATAACTGAGCTGATCGTTCATCACTAAATGACTGGTTGACAGTCCAGTCAGACACAAATTGCTGGTCTGTTGGACTCAGAAACCCATATTCTCCTGGTGACAGCTGCTAAGCGGTGTGTGCCACATCCAGCAACAAAACATCTTCAAGTGTCAATTTCTGAAAGTGCTGAATCTTCTCTGTGCTAAGTACAAGGTCAGCTGGGACCACCTGTCATGGATCAGCGTGGCCTCCACTAAATTACATGAAGTAGATGAGGGGCTTTATTCCTGCATCATCACAGAATACATGCCATCAGTAAGAGCAAACAGTGACTTGGCTATATAGATTCAGGGGAGTGAAGGAGCACATTTAGCTCTGGGAGAACTGTGACAGTTGCATCATCTACAGTATGTGTTCAACCATGATTCTTCTCTGCATTTTTGTGGTGGTGTTGAGCCAGGTCTGCGCCCTTCCTCTAAAGGTCGGTATCATTTTTATCAATTAAAATGTATCAAGTATAAATGCTGCTACAACTTTATTTGTTCGTTTTTTTTTTTTTTCACAGAATACCACTGATCCAAATGAAGTCAAACTGAGAATGAAAAGAAAGTATTCAGGTAAGATTTTACAATGAGTTTTGGACATTTTTATACAGAAATTATGACATTCATTACTTGCATGCATTTGATATTTTTTAAATAGATGAAATGAAAGATTGGGATGAAATGACAGCAATGGATCAAATCCTTGTAGTTAACAGCAGTAAGTATTGCAAATGATCAGAAAGAAAACACGGAATTGGCTGAATATTCTTTTATGACCAGGGCTTCGAGGCCCCCGAGGAGTGTCGTTTAGAGATGGGGACATTGCGACTACATTCCCACGCAGTGCTATAGCATGCCCTGGAAACTCTTGTCTCTGGCCTAAATCAGTGGATGGATTTGTTTATGTGCCTTACATCATGTCTCCTCTCTATGGTATGGATTTGCACTCAACAATGTAGGACTGAACCTGCTGTTTCTTCTGCCAACTATTACATTTTTCACACTAGATGACATGGACAGAATTACAATAGAAACTGGAATGCAAGATATCTCTTCTGGAACGTGCGTTAAGTTTGTTCCACGCACTCACGAAGGCAGCTTTTTGGATATTCAGCCTAGATATGGGTATGTTGTAAATATTTTGGTAATTTTTGTGATTCATTTTGTGATTCATAAATATACAACGTTTATGTATTTCTTTAATTTGTTTTTATTTCTAATGGTTCTATTTGTGAAGTTATATCATGTTGTTGTTGTATCCAAAGTTGCTGGTCTTTCCTGGGACAGACAGGAGGAAGCCAGACGTTATCCCTGCAAACGCCTGGGTGCATGTGGTCTGGAGTAGCAGCTCACGAATTCATGCATGCGCTTGGCTTTGTACATGAACAGTCTAGGTCTGACCGTGACCACTATGTGACAATAGTATGGAAAAATATTGTGCCAGGTCTGTGTATGCATATGTCATAAATTGTGTCTCTTTTAGTACTTACTGTTTTAAAATTGTTGGCAGATCAAATGCATAACTTCAGAAAGCAGGCGACCAACAACTTAAACAGCCCCTATGACTACAACTCAGTCATGCATTATGGAAGGTGCGGTTACATAGGGTGACATAATTAAAGGGTCTTCTTGTTTTGGTGAAGCTCCACTATATATTTTTATGCTTCAATGCAGGTATGCATTCTCTGAAGATGGAGGACCTACAATAATCCCAAAACCTGATCCTTACATTCCCATTGGCCAAAGAGACGGACCAAGTGCTTTAGACTTACATAAAATAAATGTTCTCTACGACTGTGGTAAGTGGCCATACCAAGGTCTATACTCCTGAATGTTGCATTGATTATTTCCTGACACTTGTAATTCATTTGCCCATCACAGGTGCAAACGAATAACTTGGCTGTAGAAAAAACATGTTTGCTTTTATTTAGTTTCAGTTGTTTCCCCTTACTAATATTATGCTATTAATAACGTTTTTAATGTGATGTGTAATGTCATATGAATGCTATTTCTAAATAAAGCAGTTGTTGCAATGATTTTCATATTTGTTTGAACATGTGTCTATTTTACAATATATATTTTGCCATTCTCCCATAATGCAACATATGACAAACGAGTAGTCACGATCCATTTCAGAATGACTATGAATGTAGAAAATTACTATTTGAAGGAGAAATATTTCTACATTAGTTATTAAAATAAATATATTATTTAATCTTTATTTTTAATAGAAAAAAAAACCTCAACATTTTGAATTCACAAAGAAGCATATCCCCACATATTAATTATAATTGAAATAATAATAAAACATATCACAATAGTGTAGATTTTAAGTCTCCAGTTATACCCTAGAACTTGAAATTTACGAAGGCATGCATTTAACTTTAGGGTGGGTTTGGTTGGGTTGAAACTCAGAGTACCGCAGAGCCTAGATGGGTCTATATTTAAATGAAATGCTTGCAATCGGTAAAAACAAGATGAGAAGAAAAATATAATGACCCTAAACTCCTGTTACCAAATACCAAGTAACAAAGGGAGGCCGATATGGCAAATTTGTGGAGGCTATGTGTAAAAATACTAATTTATTTCAACATTATTTTATTTTCTGTTTGCATGCATTTCTGGTATGTTCCTTCCTGGGGGAGGAGCTGTGCAGCCTCAGCACGCACACACACATTGGCGCTCCGTCCAGACCCTCGGTGACTCGCTGCGGTTATAAATGCGACTGGTTACCGTCAAACCTTTGACCACACAAAGTGTAACAAACATGAGCGATAACGAAAAGGTCTATGGTCGGGTAAGTAAGACCTTTCTTTAATCTGTCGGATGATTGACTGATGCATGGATTCCATTTGACGATAAACGGTAAATGCTAGCTAATGTTAATGCTACAAGCTAACGTTAACAAAGCTAAACGCGTCCGCGATGAAGAAAACAATGTGCGCAATGTAGCCACGCTGTGCATGAATCGTCATTTTTACTGTAGAAGTCCTGCTTGGCATACGTAAAAATCCTTTAGTTCTAAAAAAAACATCGTTTCATAATGTTTAATGTAAAGTGTTTTGTCATTCAAGATAGTAACATTAGACCGCGGGGCCTCAGTGCGAGCATGGCCTTAGATCATGGCATGGAGACGCAGTCCCTCTTGATCAGCGATCGGTCAGAACTCATGGCATTTTATGCAATTGTGATTTGCTAAATTGCACATGGTCAAGGAGAGAAACGCTATAAAACATGAAATGTAATTTACTGACTTATTTTCTGATTTTAATGTTGGAATAATAGTTGGCCCTCCCTCGGTATGCCTAGCTAAACTTATCCCACTGACGACACATCGTACACGGGACTGCTGTTTGCCCGGGTGCAAAGTGAAACTAAGCAGCCATTGCGCTGTTTCAATGTCTACCAAAGGCCGAGGCCTTAGGAAGGCTCGTCTTTGCATCCGGGGTTTATTATCGCCTCAATGCTTGAGTCTAGTAGTTAAAGTCACTCTGCTACGAATTTCGAATTCAATGCTCGATTTGATGAAATCTCGTTTTTCTGTTTTTACGTGTTATGTACAATGTTGTTAACGATTCTCGTGCATGTGATGTAACTGTATGAATATGAACCGGGATTCAAATTTGTAACCATAGTCATATTCTTCATGCTTTTCTTTTTCATAAAGGTTAAGATTGGACGAAGAAAAGGCTGAAGAACCTCTTTATTATCAATAAAATGAAGCTCAGATGTGTGAAGCTGAATTTGTGAATGCATGCTAAAACATGAGGCGGGAAGAAGTATGGGCAGTGTGTGAAAAGGGGGAAGTAAGAAGAATTAAGACATTGAAGAAAGAAGAATATTGTGAAGTAATGAAGTGACAGAAATAAAGAAGTAAATGAAGTAATCTGGAGAAGGTATAGGGTTATGTCATTTTTCTAGTCTGTTTGTCAAATGCGTGCATGTTCTTATCCAATGAAACAGTATTTTCAATAATTTCCACACAACTCTTTCTGTCATGTTGACAAACTAAATTATACTCACACATATTTGCTGCTTTCATTAGCAATTATGTTTAAAAAAATCAGCTTTCCTTTGCTATACTTCAACCTGTCCCTTTCTGTATTCCTCAGACTAGCCTTATTCCTAAGTGCACACACATTTTAGATGAGCATGTGCCCTTTGATCGTTGCTCATCAGACTTGTGTGTGTGTGTGTGTGGTTCGTTTAGGAGTCCCGCTCTGCCTCGAGGAGTGCCTCTCGGGGCTCCCACGGCTCTAGAAAGTCAGCGAGTCACTCCCCGGCTCGTTCTAAGGATGGCTCCCGCCATTCCCGCTCCAAATCTCGTTCCCGATCGAGGTCTAAATCTGGGTAAGAAATTATGCCCCCCTCTTCCTTGCTAAAATGTTTCTCTTTATGTACTCCTACTGTATATACGTATGCTCATAATAACTTGTGGTTGTGGGGTTTGTTATTGTCAGTTCCCGTCGCGGCTCCAGGCGCCATTACAGCCGTTCTCGCTCCCGCTCGCGCTCCTACCGCAGACGCTCTCACAGCCGCTCCTACAGTGGTGAGCGACGCCACCGGAGCCACAGCCGGTCCCCTATGTCCAACCGCCGCAGACACATCGGCAACAGAGTTTGTGTTCACCACGTTGTCATAAATACTTTTTAAAACTTTGAATGTATTGGTTGTTTATTTGTACTGTCTGCAGGCAAATCCGGACCCAAACGCCTGTATTGGAGTTTTTGGCCTAAGTTTGTACACCACAGAGCGGGACCTGAGGGATGTCTTCTCCAAATACGGTCCCTTAGCAGACGTCAGTATTGTGTATGACCAGCAATCGAGGCGCTCCAGGGGCTTTGCGTTTGTTTACTTTGAGAACACTGCTGATTCAAAAGAAGTATGTGGCAACACTGAGTTAAAGTCAGAGAAACTTGGTGTACAGTTATGTTCATGAATATCTTGTGTTCCTTTTAGGCAAAGGAGAGGGCAAATGGCATGGAGTTGGATGGGCGCAGGATTAGAGTGGACTTCTCAATAACAAAAAGACCTCACACACCGACACCTGGGATCTACATGGGCCGACCGACATAGTAAGAAGAACTTAACCTATTACAAGATTAAAATGATATCCCTTGTTGTAAATCATATGTATCTTTGATTCACTGTTCAAAGCTAAAGCTCATTTCTTATTTGTGTAGTGGTGGAGGCGGACCCAGTGGCCCTCGCCGGCACTCTCGAGACTCTCGTGAGTCTCGTGACTATGACCGTGGGTATGAACGAGGGTATGACCGAGGAGACCGGGGAGATAGAGGCGGCGACAGGGGAGATAGAGGCGGCGACAGGGGAGATAGAGGAGGAGGCTATGATCGATATGAGGACAGGGATTACTACAGATCATACAGGTATGTCCCTTAACCCTTTAAGCGCCAAAGTCGCAATATTGCTCACTTAAACAGGCTGTATCTAAAAATGTGGTGCAGAATCTTGTTAATACTTTTCACCAGGGGTTAGTGGACATGTGTGCCTGTAATATGAGCAGCATTTGTGGGTGTGGTTATATTGAAAGTTATTGAGGTCGTAAAACACCTGCGGCGCGGAGGCGAAGCAGCAGCGGTAGAGCTGAGGAGCGAGAGCAGAGCAGAGGGAAAGGGTGTTTTTTATTTTACTCACGAGGTCTTCAGTACCAGAGAAGTACTTGGTCTGGTACTGGCTGACTCAGATTCAGAGGAGGAAGACACACAGGTGTCCAGTGAAGCAGACACGGACATTATTGGTGACGGGGAGACCGCGCCATATAGTCCACAATCAGCCCCTGTACAGCGGCTGCTTGTCCTCCGTGTGGCCGCGGTAGAAGCATTCTGTGAACGCCAAGCAGGATCCGTGGTGGAGGGGACAGGGGGATCATAACACCGGGCATGTGGGAGAAAGTAGTGGGGGTAGACATCCACGGGGAACACGGGAGACGCAGGAGAAGTCGCGGGAGAGCCGCGGGAAAAAAAAACACATCGCTAATCGCGTTCACTGCCTTTACCAACAGCGATGATGAGGATGAAGGCAGTTCTTGAGAGAAAATAATCCACAAAAGTGGATCAGAAGTGTTGAAGAGCCTGTTGTATGTTGTTGAGACGATCTGACAAGTTCTGAGCCCATTCATTTCATCTCTCTGTTCAGTGGTAAATCCTGGAGCATCATTTCCACTGAGAAAAATAGTAAGCCCACTACTTCTCTGAAAGGAAAGTATTGAAACCAATCTCAAGATTTCATGACTGTAAACTATAAAGAGAGCTGTCTTGATCACTGAAGGTCTTTGAAAATAATACAATTCCATATGGCCGCAAACCAGTGCTAACCCATTATCTATAATCTGGATCAGGGAATTTATTTCTATCCCAAATTCATTTCATACTAAAGATATTTCACATTGACTGTTTATAGTATTCCCTGATCTCAAATAATTCCCAAGCTACAGCTTTTTGAAGTCTTTATACAATAATTAACATTTTCCAAGATGGCCGCCACCTTGATGACGTCACAATATGCAAATTAGATGACGAATCAACTTCCATCCCAAAGTTTGGTTCAAACTGAAGATATTTCTAATTTACAGTACGCCTTTATCTCAAACCATTTTAAAGTTATAGCCTTTTGAAATCTTGAAATCAAAATTGTATATTTTCTTGAAAAAACTCTGGCGCCTAAAGGGTTAAACCTCATTTTCCTTGGTCTTTCTCAAATCTTTATAATGCTTTGTCAATGTCTTCTGTCAGAAAACGCTCTCAGTCTCCTTACTATAGGGGTGCATACAGGTCCCGGTCCAGGTCACGATCCTATTCACCTCGTAAGTTTTAAGTTTGATTTCAGTCATAATGTAGAAAAGGTGGGGCATGGTGTTAACGTTCTTTTTGTTTTT